CCCACTGCAGCCCCTACCCCCTGCTCCCACTGCAGCCCCAACCCCCCTGCTCCCACTGCAGCCCACACCCCCTACAGCCCCTACCCCCTACAGCTCCTATCTCCCTGCTCCCACTGCAGCTCCTACCCCCTGCACTGTGCGCAATAGTAGGGTTTCGCTTTTGGTAGTGGCTAGTGGGCTACCCAACTGCTCCCACTGCATCTCCTATTACCCTTTGCACCCACTACAGTCTGTCCCTCCTCTGCACCTACTACAGCCTCTAATCCACCCTATTCCCCCGTATCCTCTACAGTCCCTCCCCTGCAGCCCCTTCCACTCGCACCCTTTACAGCCTCTTCCTTTCGGCACCCTCTGCAGTCCCTACCCCTTTGCACGCACAAACATAAAGGGACACTATAGTTACCAGAACAACTACAGCTTAATTTATATTATACAGCTTAATGTATAGTAACAGCTTAATGTTTATTATATAGCTTAATGTAGTTGTTCTGGTGAGGATAGTATACTACTGCAGGGTTTTTGCTGTAAAGACTGCCTTTTCAGAGAAAATGCAGTGTTTACATTGCTTCCTAGGAACACCTAGGCGCTTCCTGTGTCAGTATTGCAAAATGTGCAGCACTGACATTCAGCATCTCATGATCTGCATGTCGACGCTGAACGCTTGTCATAGAGAAGCACTGATTCAATCCATCTCTATGATGGTGATTGGCACAGCGTTTTGCTGCGCGTGCACAATAGCCTTCTAGTGCTTTCCTATGGTAGAGCATTGGGTTGGCTGAGATCATCTAAATTGATGAACTCTGCCAAGGAGTTTGGTCGGTGCTGGGAAACAGGTGAGTAAATCGCATTTTTAAGGGGGGGAATACACATTTGTATTCCTGACACTATAGTGTTCCTTTAAAGGGACACTCCAGGCACCCAGACCACTTCTGCCCATTGGAGTGGTCTGGGTGCCAACTCCCACTACCCTTAACCCTGCAAGTGTAGTCATTGCAGTTTTTATAAACTGCAATAATTACCTTGCAGGGTTAACTCTTCCTCTAGTGGCTGTAGACTAGACAGCCACCAGAGGGCACTTCCTGGTCTATAGCACAGGATTTCTGTGCTATAGTGTCGCTGGACGTCCTCACGCTGTGTGAGGACCTCCAGCGTCGCTAAAATTCCCATAGGAAAGCATTGAAAAGCATTTTCAATGCTTTCCTATGCAGAGGTCTAATGCGCCTGCGCGGCATTGCCGCGCATGCGTATTAGGTCTCCCCCGACGGCTGACGTGATGAAGGGGAGGAGCATGAGCGGAGGAAGAAGCAGCGACGTGGGACATGTCGCTGCCTCTGGTAAGTCACTGAAGGGGTTTTCACCCCTTCAGCAACCGGGGATGGAAGGTGGGAGGGAGAGGGGACCTGCAGTGCCAGGAAAACGGATTGTTTTCCTGGCACTGGAGAGTCCCTTTAAGGTGGCTCGTAACATTTAACACTTGGTTTCACAAATACTCCCTTTTACATACTGCCATGCTACACAAACACACACAAAAAAATACTACCCTATTCACAAAACCAAAAACATGTATTCAAATATACTAATAATCCACATATCCTGACACTACACACAAAGACATACATATATTCACTTACACTAGCGCTCACAGTGAATATACACACAGAAACATGCATTCACTTTACATGTACATACAATCAAATATACGGTACACCTATACCAGCATATATATCGGTCTGCTGGGGGCCCAGGTGCTAATTTTGCCCGGGGGCCCAGGCCACTGTCAGTCCGTCCCTGGGAACAAGGTATACTTGAACCCGTAACACACCCAAAGTGGTGTACACCCATAGTTCCGGTGATTAAACCAAATGGGGATATCAGAATCTGTACTGACTACAAATGTACAATCAACAAAGCGTTGCAAGAGCATCCCTATCAAATTCCAGCTGTTAATCAAATTCTTACTACTTTGGCAAAAACAAAAGTATTTGCCAAGTTGGATATGGCTCAAGCCTACCAGCAGTTACCTGTGGATGATGAGGCTGCTGATGCACAAACGATAATAACACACAAAGTAGCTTTCCGAGCAAGACATTTGCAGTTTGGAGTTTCAATTGCTCCTGGCATATTTCAGAATTTAATGGAGGACCTCTTATCTGGACTTCCAGGTGTAGTGCCTTATTTTGATGGCGTTCTTATTTTGATGACAGTCATTGGCTGCACAGCTTGTTTTACAATGTTTTCTTGATGCTGGTCTAAAACTTAAAAAAGAAAAGTGTGTTTTTGGTGTAAGCAGCATGGATTTCCTTGGTTACGGCGTTGACACACAGGGCATTCATATCCATAGAGCTCCGGTTCCAACAAACAAACAAGAACTGCAAGCTTTCCTAGGGTTGCTTAATTTTTACCATTCTTTTCTGTCTGATAAAGCCACTGTTGCTGAACCTCTGCATCGTCTTCTAGATAAAGATGCTCCAGGGAAGTGGACTGACGTTCATACTAGCGCTTTCAGCGCTGCTAAAAACCTGTTGTCTTCTGACAGTTTACTTGTACACTATGATTTGGAGAAACCGCTCAACCTCACCTGCGATGCTTCTCCGTATGGCATAGGGGCTGTATTGAGCCACACTTTGAGAAATGGGGTTGAGGCTCCTATTGCGTTTTATTCACTGACTTTTTCTACTACAGAGAGGAATTACACCCAAATTGACAAGGAGGCTTTATCTATTGTGTCCAGTGTAAAAAGGTTTCATGACTATTTGTATGGGCGGCATAGGCGTGCGCAGCCTATTGTATAAGGGTGTGCAACCTAAAGCAGCTGTGTGTGTGACGGTGCTGTGTGTAGGTGCTGTGTGTGTGCAGGCGCTGTGTGTGTGTGAAGGTGCTGTGTATGTAAGGGTGCTGTTAGTGTGTGCTGTGTGTGTGTATGTGTAAGGGTGCTGTTAGTGTGTGTGTGTGTGAGGGTGCTGTGTGTGTGTGCTTTGTGTGTGTAAGGGTGCTGTGTGTGTGAGTGTAAGGGTGCTGTGTATGTAAGGGTGTTGTTAGTGTGTGCTGTGTGGGTGTGAGGGTGCTGTGTGTAAGGGTGCTGTTAGTGTGTGCTGTGTGTGTATAAGGATGTTCTTAGTGTGAGGGTGCTGTTAGTGTGTGTGTGTGTGTGTGTGTGTAAGGGTGTTGTTAGTGTGTGCTGTGTGTGTGTGTGTGTGTGTGTAAGGTTGCTGTTAGTGTGTGCAAGGGTGTTGTTAGTGTGAGGGTGTTGTTAGTGTGTGTGTGTGCTGTGTGTGTAATGTATGTGTGTGTGCTGTATGTTTGTGTGTAATGTGTGGGGGCCGTTTAGTTAATATCCCCCCTCCCTTCTTACCTTATGTAGGGAGGGGGGGACCGTGCTCCTGCCTTCCCTGGTGGTCCAGTGGAGAGTGGGGCTAGAGTTCACTTTTGCAAGATCTGAGGTTACCGCGGCAAGAGCTCCCCGGGTCCTCTCCTGCCTCCTTCCCTGCCTGTGGGTCAGTGACCCACACCGGCCCACGGAGGGAGGCACATAGCGCGTGCTGCAGGGATTAGGGTGTGCCTAGGCACACCCGGCACACCCCGTCCGCACGCCTATGATGGGCGGAGGTTTACTATTCTAACAGATCATAAACCTTTACTGGGTCAGCAATACTCCCACTCCTCAAATAATTTCACCACGCATGCTCAGGTGGTCCCTTATGCTGAATGCCTATGATTGTGAGTTCAAGTATCGCCCTGGCAAGGATATCAAAACATGCTGATGGATTAAGCCGATTACCTTTGCCTTCTCCTGACTTCCTTGTTCCTCTGATGTTGGAATCCATTCCAAACCCTCCGTGACATTGCTTGAATGTCTGCCAAGGATCCTTTGCTGCCCCGTGTGCTCAACTGGGTTTGGAGGGGGTGGCCAAAATCAAAAGTGGAAGACAAGTTAAAACCATTTGTAGTGTGCCAACATGAACTATCTGCCTATAAAGGGTGCCTATTATGGGGAAACAGAGTGGTAATTCCAAATGCAGGACAAGCTCGAGTATTGCATGCTCTTCATGAAGGACATCCTGGAATAGTTTGCATGAAAGCTTTAGCCAGAAGTTATGTTTCGTGGCCTAAAATGGATGAAGTTATTGAAAAGTGGGTGAAGAACTGTGTACCATGCCAATCTACTCGTCATGCTCCACCTAAAGCCTCAGTACATCCTTGGGAAGTGACTAGATCACCTTGGTCCCGTTTACATATAGATTTTGCTGGCCCTTTTCATGGACAGATGTTTTTTTAGTTGTTGACTCCTTTTCAAAATGGTTAGAAGTTGTTCCAGTTATATCTGCTACCTCAGTCACAGTCATAAAGATTCTAAGGAGGCTGTTTGCTACACATGGGTTGCCAGATACAATTGTGTCTGATAATGGAACACAATTTACCTCATCAGAATTCAAAATTTTCATGGCAAGTAATCTTATTCGACATGTTACGATTGCACCATTTCACCCATCATCAAATGGTCAAGCTGAGCGTATGGTTCAGACTACCAAAGACTCATTTATGAGAATTATTGAAGGAGATTGGAATCGTAGACTTGCAAATTTCCTTCTGCAACAACATGTGACACTGTGATCAAGCACTGGTAGTAGTCCAGCAGAGCTCCTTAGGAACCGGCGTCTTAAAACTTGTCTGGATTGTTTACATCCTGATTTGATATCTGAGTTACAAGAGAAGCAAGAATTGCAATTCAATAAGAACTATAATGCTTCCACTGTGAGAGTATTTGCACCTGACAGTGCTGTCTATGTCAGGAATTATGTTTCTGGGCCTAAATGGATACCTGCAAAAGTACTTGTGGCCACAGGACCTTTGTCATACAAAGTTCAAATTCCTGATGGTAGAATATTACGAAGGCATGTTGATCAGATCCGGGAACGGAGTAATGAGATTGTGCCTGCTGTCGGTCCCAGTCATACCGGGTTTTCTGTGATACCAGATAATGTTGAACCACTGGGTGATACAGGTGTCCGTTCTCCAGGAGTTGTTGTTGCAGAACCAGTTCCTTGCGGTCCATTTGAGAGAGCACAGGAAGAAGGGATGGGCACAACTGAAGGTCCAGGTGAAGCAGCTCCAAATATGGTTTTGGGAAGAAATATTCACCCTCCCAGTTATCTCAAAGACTTTGAGGTCTAGGGGGGGAGGAGTGTTATGTATCGGGGTGTTATGCAGACCACCTTCCAGTAGATGGCAGCATAGTGAAGTTATGCACTTGTTCTGTTGTGTTAGTCTCTCTTGTGTTATGTTATTATGTGTGTACTGAAGTAAAGAGAAGTTCTATTTTACTACAATGTCTGAGAGCCATTTTGTGAATATATAACATGCGAATACATTAAACTATGATATTCCCAGAAACCTTTCAGTAGCATTATTTACCCATAATATATGGTTTTACATTATGCATTCTCTCTCTTTTTTTTTTTTTTTCTCAATTTGACAGTTTTTATTGATCCAGCGAAAAGGCAGTAGGGTACAGAAAAGAAAAAGGGAGTGGCGGATACCATAACCCAGAGGGTACATTACATTACCAATGGATACACACATGACAATTATTGTTCGATAATACATACATATTTTCAATCCTATGCTACACGTAAGGTTAATGGGGTGCATATCGTCTTGGGCCTAGCGGCCGGGTACGGGGTGGCCTGCCTGTACAAGTGGTGCCATGTAGGGTTTGGTCTCAGACCTCGTGCCTCTTATCGTGTCTACGTTGTGCCTTGTCTTGCTGCTCCGCCCACTTCTGGTGTCTGGGCAAGACCTAACTATCGGCAGGTCAGGTGGGCTTCTGGTTATGGTAGCCTAACTAAGACAGTTTTTTTTTTTTACATTTTCTCGTTAAGGCTACTGGCCAGTTCGGCAGTGCTCTGTGGTGTTTTTTTTTATTTTTTATTTTTTTTTAAATTGCGTGTGCTTGCATAGTGGTAGCAATGCCTTTGTGCCTCCCTTCTAAAGGTGGTATTCAGATGTATCCTTTTTCCCCCTGTTCCTCCCTCAAGTCTGCCTGACCGCTTGGCTCATTTTCCTTTTTAAAACGGGGATTTAAAGGAAGAGGTATGGGGAGTAACTATTTAAAAAAGAGGCTTGCTTCTTTAGTCTCTTGTCAGGGTGGTCGCATCATTTAGGGTGAAGCCCCCGTGTTTGGAAGCCACAGAGTGCCCAGTGTCTTTGTTGATTGCCATTGACAACTGTGCTGAGTTGCCTATTTGTGAACCTTGGGCCAAGAGCCCCGAGTCCAGCCCAGATTTTCCGTCACCCCCACTCATCTATTGTCCCGTCCCGCCTCCCTCATTTGCCCCCGGTGAGGTTTTGCGTCATGTTTAATTTGTCATGTAATAAGAGCCCTACAGGTAGCGTCCCGTGTTGTGACGTCTTCCCCCGCCTCTCCCCCTTGGTCACGTGTGCATTGGGTGTGGGTATGTTCCATGTGTGTTTGAGTTTTAATGTAGGTGTCCCACATGATTACCGCTCTCTGTATATGTTTTTTTTTGGCTAATACAGGGAGTGCAGAATTATTAGGCAAATGAGTATTTTGACCACATCATCCTCTTTATGCATGTTGTCTTACTCCAAGCTGTATAGGCTCGAAAGCCTACTACCAATTAAGCATATTAGGTGATGTGCATCTCTGTAATGAGAAGGGGTGTGGTCTAATGACATCAACACCCTATATCAGGTGTGCATAATTATTAGGCAACTTCCTTTCCTTTGGCAAAATGGGTCAAAAGAAGGACTTGACAGGCTCAGAAAAGTCAAAAATAGTGAGATATCTTGCAGAGGGATGCAGCACTCTTAAAATTGCAAAGCTTCTGAAGCGTGATCATCGAACAATCAAGCGTTTCATTCAAAATAGTCAACAGGGTCGCAAGAAGCGTGTGGAAAAACCAAGGCGCAAAATAACTGCCCATGAACTGAGAAAAGTCAAGCGTGCAGCTGCCACGATGCCACTTGCCACCAGTTTGGCCATATTTCAGAGCTGCAACATCACTGGAGTGCCCAAAAGCACAAGGTGTGCAATACTCAGAGACATGGCCAAGGTAAGAAAGGCTGAAAGACGACCACCACTGAACAAGACACACAAGCTGAAACGTCAAGACTGGGCCAAGAAATATCTCAAGACTGATTTTTCTAAGGTTTTATGGACTGATGAAATGAGAGTGAGTCTTGATGGGCCAGATGGATGGGCCCGTGGCTGGATTGGTAAAGGGCAGAGAGCTCCAGTCCGACTCAGACGCCAGCAAGGTGGAGGTGGAGTACTGGTTTGGGCTGGTATCATCAAAGATGAGCTTGTGGGGCCTTTTCGGGTTGAGGATGGAGTCAAGCTCAACTCCCAGTCCTACTGCCAGTTCCTGGAAGACACCTTCTTCAAGCAGTGGTACAGGAAGAAGTCTGCATCCTTCAAGAAAAACATGATTTTCATGCAGGACAATGCTCCATCACACGCGTCCAAGTACTCCACAGCGTGGCTGGCAAGAAAGGGTATAAAAGAAGAAAATCTAATGACATGGCCTCCTTGTTCACCTGATCTGAACCCCATTGAGAACCTGTGGTCCATCATCAAATGTGAGATTTACAAGGAGGGAGAACAGTACACCTCTCTGAACAGTGTCTGGGAGGCTGTGGTTGCTGCTGCACGCAATGTTGATGGTGAACAGATCAAAACACTGACAGAATCCATGGATGGCAGGCTTTTGAGTATCCATGCAAAGAAAGGTGGATATATTGGTCACTGATTTGTTTTTGTTTTGTTTTTGAATGTCAGAAATGTATATTTGTGAATGTTGAGATGTTATATTGGTTTCACTGGTAATAATAAATAATTGAAATGGGTATATATTTGTTTTTTGTTAAGTTGCCTAATAATTATGCACAGTAATAGTCACCTGCACACACAGATATCCCCCTAACATAGCTATAACTAAAAACAAACTAAAAACTACTTCCAAAAATATTCAGCTTTGATATTAATGAGTTTTTTGGGTTCATTGAGAACATGGTTGTTGTTCAATAATAAAATTAATCCTCAAAAATACAACTTGCCTAATAATTCTGCACTCCCTGTATGCTTATGGGCCATTGCCCCATAGTCCAGGTTCAGGGTGATCTGCGCTGTAAGGGCAGTACGACCCGGTATTTCTGTAGATTTCCATGCTCTGGCTATCAGCAAATTTGCAGCCATGAGGACGTGTAAAAGTAGGGTAGAGGCCGGTTTAGAGATGTTTTCCAGTGGCATGAATAGGAGGCATATATCAGGTTTGAGTGTGATGCCCATCCCCAATGCATCTGATAGTACGTCTCCCACCATACGCCAATATCCCTCGATCTTGGGACAAGTCCACCAAATGTGGTACATCGTCCCCCTTTCCTGTAAACACCTTCAGCAGGAGCTGGTAGTGTTCGGGCCTGTAGTCAAAGGATGGGTTAACAGCATGCACGCAAGATATGGGGGCAGCTGGGAGCCACATTTGTTTCTCGCCCATGTTTTGTTTTAGTCTGTCCCATGTATGAAGGAGCAGGTCAGTGGTACGCAACATGTTTGGCATGTTCGGGCGTTTATGTTTAGGTATCCAGAAGGGAAGGTGCATGCCCTTGGGGTACGACCAATGCGACTCAATTTCAATCCATTGCGGGGGGAAGGTAGCTGCGTGGGAAGCTATAACTGAGGCTAGCAGTGCAGCCCTGTAGTACTCTTTAATGTTTGGCAGTCCAAGTCCGCCGTGGTCTAGGGGTTTATACAGAGGTTTCGAGGAGACGCGGATCTTACGGTTTTCCCATGCGAATCGGGTTAATATGGCCTGGAATTTTTCTAAATAGGTCTTGGGGATAGATATTTGTAGCGTTCTGAGCAGGTATTGGAGTTTAGGGAGGATGGACATTTTTACTGCAGCTATCCTGCCAAGCCAGGTTAGGAATTTAGATTCCCACCCCTTTAGTGTTTTGGTTATGTCCCTTAAAAGTTTCTCATGGTTGTATTTCAGTAGTTCGGTCAGGTTTTTTGTGAGGTTAAGTCCTAAGAAGGTAATGTAATCAGATCTCCAATCAAAGGAGAATGATGCCTGTAGTGTGTGTAGTATTTGGTCTGGGACCCCTATGCTTAGGGCTTGAGTCTTGGCCACATTAAGCTTATAGTAGGAATGGATCCAATAGTCTGTGATTACTGCCAGGAGATTTGGAAGGGAAATCTGCAGCTGCGTAAGAGTGAGCAGGATATCATCTGCGAACAGGTTTGCTTTGTATTCCTTTTGGCCAACAGTGGTTCCATGTTTAGAGGTATGATCTCTAATGGTTTGCGCCAGGGGCTCTAACGCCAAGACGTAGAGCAAGGGGGAAAGTGGGCACCCCTGCCTCGTCCCGTTTGTGATCAAGAAGGGGTCAGACAGGAACCCTGCATTGAGCACAGGTGCGGTAGGATGGCTAAAGAGGGGCCTCACCGCCGACAGGAACCCTTCAGGTATTCCAAATTTGAGCAATACTGCCTCTGTGTGCCTACTCGGGCAACCCTCTAACTGCCACAACTCCAGTAGTTGCTACCCTGGGTGCAACCCAGGCTAGATATCTCAGCCCCTTACGTAGGGAGGGAAGCCACCATGTAGTCTTCCAGAGTGAACCACAGGAGTAAATATGGAATCCTTGTCCCAGCAACAAATTAAAGGACTGACCACAGTTCATATAGTAAATATAGAAAAAGAAAGTGGGGGGGAGGGGACGGGCAGTTATATATATATATATTTATATATTTTTTCCTTCCCGTTAGAAGTACGTACATAAACATTGTACTTTGTTTTTTTTTTCTGTTTTTTTCTTTTATTTTTTTCTTTAGTTTTTCATATATATATGCTTATTTTTTTAATTTATTTTTTACTCCAAGGTATGTTCTGCTACAGTGGTAAACATATACATAAACCTCAGCGTATTCCCCCTGTGGCTTTCTCACCTTCCCTCTCAGTGTGTGGACTTGCCATGTCCGCTAACCCGAGGGATGTCCCAGCGCGTCAGCAACGCTAAGGCCAAATAATCCCCCCTTTTTTTTCTTCTTTTTTTTTCTAGGGACAATTATACTTGCTGTGGCTCACGGCAGCTGGGGGTAACAGTCTCTGAGATCTTCAGAGTGCTATCAGCGCCATCTGGGCTTTTTCCATTTCGGGGAGAACCTTGGCAAGTTCCCTGGAGGTCTCAGCGGTTCTTGCTGCTTAAGTCCCCATTGGCTCAAGATGCGGTGGCTGTGTTCCGGAGTGAGAATAACGGTGGTTTTCCCGTCACGTTGCACCAGGAGCTTCACTGGGTATCCCCAGCGATAGATGATGTGGTGTGCTCTCAGGCGCTCCGTGACTGGCTGGAAGGCTCTGCGGTGTTTCACGGTATACGCAGACAGGTCAGCATACACGGATACGGTTTGGAATCTCTCTGGCCAATCTTTGCGGGAACGGCTTTGTTTGAGTATTTCACCTTGGCGTGGTAGTAGTGGAGGCGAAGCAGCACGTCCCTTGGTGTTTCTGGAGGTAGGAACTTTGGTCTGGCAGCTCTGTGCACGCGGTCCAGCAGCAATAGGTTTCTTGGGATCTCAGGTGCAATGGCATGGAACAGATCCATCACGTACATAGCGATATCAGCCATGCTTACTGTTTCTGCTATCCCCCGGAGCCGGAGGTTGTTCCGATGGCCCTTGTCCTCCATGTCTGCTAGCTTTAGGTCGTTGTACTCCATCCGGGACAAGAGTCCCTCCATCTGGGTAGCCAGTGTGTTGTGGGCTTCCTCGAAGTCCGCTAACTTAGTTTCCACGTGGTCCAGCATAGTTTGCAGCATGCTTTGGGTCAGTGGGGAGTCCGGATTAGGAGATGCCTCCGAGCTCTCCAGTTCCTCCTCGGCGCCATCTTGTGCCATCTTAGAGGAGGCCGGAGTTTTTGCTTGCCCCGCTCGTGGTGCGAAGAACTGCACTTTCTCCTGTCTCTTGTGATTCTTTTGGATTTGGGCTGTGACATATTGTGCCCTGTGATGTTCAGGTGAGATTTATTATTATTTGTTTGGGATACAATTGCTCAGATATGGGCCTTAGCTGTGCGGAGCTCTCACTACATGCGTCTGCTCGCGGCAAGGTTCAGGACAAGCCCCCCTATGCATTCTCTCTTTAACACACACACGTTCCACAGAGGGCTTGCACACAATGGTTCTAAAAACGTGCGGGTCCTGATGAAGGTTTAGATTTTTAACTGAAACGTCAATCAATTGACAAATAAGTTAGGATTTATTTGGAAGATCCAAGAGTGCTGGCCATTACTTGTATAACTTTATAACACACACAGATGTAGATGTATTAAGGCCTATGGCAGAGGGAACAGCAAGATTGTGGTTTTTGTTTTGCAGTGGAAGGCTGTTTCTCCAAGTAGTTGGTGCTTCACACCATGCAGCACTGTTTTGTTCATTTTTTTTTATATTAAATCTCAAAAGCAATGGACATACAAACTAACTTGGTTAAAGGGACACTATAGTCACCGGAACAACTGCAGCTTAATGTAGTTGTTCTGGTAATTATAATCGCTCCCTTCAGGCATTTTCATGTAAACACTGACTTTTCAGAAAAAATGCAGTGTTTACATTGCGCCTAGGGACTCCTCAGATGGCCACTGGATGGGATTCCAGGCTCAGGGTTGCACAGTAAGCAGTCCTGCCGTTCAGCCTCTGCATGGAGACGCTGAATTTTCCTCATAGAGATGCATTGATTCAATGCATCTGTATGAGGAGGTGCTAAAACAGTGTTTGGCCCCGCCCCCTTGCAGATTTTAGCCAATCCAATGCTTTCCCCAAGGGAAAGTATTGGATTGGATAAAAATTGACAATTATGATGAGGTCACCAAGGGGGCTATTCTGATGGGCTAAGGGGGGGGGGCTAGCCACCTAAATGGTGGGTTTTCACTATAGGATCAGGAATACATGTTTGTGTTCCTGACCCTATAATGCTCCTTTAATACAAAGGCTTTGCAGGGAAGTGGCTGATATAATATCAAATCACACCAGCTTAAAACATTTTACCTGAAAAATATTATTTGAACACTTACCTGAGTATGGAGTACATGCAAGTACTGAATAGTAACAGCGTAATTATTAATCCAAGAAAGGAAAAAATAAGAACCATTTGAATCTCTGTGTGTTCTGAAACAGAAGATAAGCTGTAAGTGACAATGTCCATGACATGATACAAATCAATGAAAACCTGATTCACAATTCTCTCAGCCGATAAAATCTGCAACCTACATACTACATGAATACTAGTCATCTAAAGAGGCAGGCTTTGCTTTCTTTGCTATTTATTAAAGGAATTACAGTCTTCTGATATTTATTTTCAATTTACTAAAATAGTAAAGATCAGGAGTAGGCGACCTTCGGCACTTTAGATGTTGTGGACTACATGCCCCATAATGCACTTACAGCTATAATGCTAGCAAAGCATCAGGGGAGATGCATTCTACAACATCTGGAGTGCCAAATGCTGCCTACCCCTGGTATAGATCATATCTTCTATGGGTTATATTCAATGCCAGCCTTAGGGGTGTGCAAGCTGTGTGGGCGTCCAATGGCCGACACAGCTTGCACCACCATTGTCCACTTTAGGGCTACTTGGAAAAGTGCCATTCATTTTTATTTAATATATTCCTAGATGGGCAATGTATTCAATAAAAATTATTCATTGGTTGTCTAGTGGGCGATTATGATATCTCCCTGTTGATATCGTTAGTAGTCCCAGAAGATTGGAAGTTAGAGAATGTTGTGCCCATTTACAAGAAAGGTAATAGGGAGGAGTCGGGCAACTATAGGCCAGTAAGCCTTACTTCAGTAGTGGGGAAAGTGATGGAAACCATGTTAAAGGATAGGATTGATGAACATCTAAAAACACATAGATTTCAAGATCAGAGACAACATGGGTTTACTTCAGGGAGATCATGCCAAACTAATCTTATTGATTTTTTTGATTGGGTAACTAACATCATAGATCAGGGTGGTGCAGTAGACATTGCTTAACTAGATTTCAGTAAGGCTTTTGACACTGTTGCACATAGAAGGTTTATCAATAAACTGCAATCTTTAAGTTTGGATTCCAATATTGTTGAATATGTAAGGCAGTGGCTGAGTGACAGGCAACAGAGGGTTGTAGTTAATGGAATATATTCGAAGCTTGGACTTGTCACCAGTGGGGTACCTCAGGGATCTGTACTTTGACCCATTCTCTTTAATATTTTTATTAGTGATATTGCAGAAGGTCTTGATGGTAAAGTATGTCTTTTTGCTGATGATACTAAGATATGTAACAGGGTTGATGTTCCAGGAGGGATAAGCCAAATGACAAATGATTTAGGTAAACTAGAAAAATGGTCAGAATTGTGGCAACTGACATTTAATGTGGATAAGTGCAAGATAATGCATCTTGGACGTAAAAACCCAAGGGCAGAGTACAGAATATTTGATAGAGTCCTAACCTCAACATATGAGGAAAGGGATTTAGGGGTGATTATTTCTGATGACTTAAAGGTAGGCAGACAATGTAATAGAGCAGCAGGAAATGCTTGCAGAATGCTTGGTTGTATAGGGAGAGGTATTAGCAGTAGAAAGTGCTCATGCCATTGTACAGAACACTGGTGAGACCTCACTTGGAGTATTGTACACAGTACTGGAGACCTTATCTTTAGAAGGATACTGACACCTTAGAGAGGGTTCAGAGAAGGGCTACTAAACTGGTTCATGGATTGCGGGATAAAACTTACCAGGAAAGGTTAAAGGATTTTACTATGTTATAGTTGACTGCGTCTGTTACAGCTGTTGTGGCTACACAGACACTTTTGTAAATTCTTGCACGACAAAAATAAAGAATAAAAAAAAACTTACAAGAAAAGGTTAAAGGATCTTGACATGTATAGCTTGGAGCAAAGACGAGAAAGGGGATATGATAGAAACATTTAAATACATAAAGGGAATCAACACAGTAAAGGAGGAGACTATATTTAAAAGAAGAAAAACTACCACAACAAGAGGACTAGTATTTAGAAAATTGAGCAGACTAGATGGGCCGAATGGTTCTTATCTGCCGTCACATTCTATGTTTCTATGTTTCTATATCTGTACCGCATGCTGATATACTTGAAAGTGATCTCTCCCTCATGGCTCTGGTTCTCAGTTAGTGAGTCAGAGCTCAGCCAAGGAGATTCCCAGCTTGTGCTCTGAGTCAACACTGAGTGCGGGAGCCGCAAGTGAGAACTCACTTTTGAGTAAATCAGCAGCAAACTCCAACCAACAGGAATAGCATGAGAAACAACCATGCACTGTACACTGCTGCCAGGTGCTAATAAGTGTGTCTGCTGCCAGTGACCTTGTGTCTGTGTGCATGTGTGTAAGTGAGCGTCTATGTAGTGACCTTGTGTCTGTGTGCATGTGTGTCAGTAAGCTTGCGTGTAGTGACCTTGTGTCTGTGCATGTGTGTCAGTAAGCTTGTGTGTAGTGACCTTGTGTCTGTGTGCATGTGTGTCAGTGAGCGTCTATGTAGTGACCTTGTGTCTGTGTGCATGTGTGTCAGTAAGCTTGCGTGTAGTGACCTTGTGTCTGTGCATGTGTGTCAGTAAGCTTGTGTGTAGTGACCTTGTGTCTGTGTGCATGTGTGTCAGTAGACTTGCGTCTAGTGGCCTGGTCATAATGCCATGTGTAGCGGAGAGCTGATTTCTCACAGCTAAACTCCACCAAGTACTTTAAGAGGATGCAGGAACAAGTAATAAATCCAAGAGAATATCCAGCACAATCAGCATTACAATCCAATAATATCCCATCACTTTCCCCAATCATTGGACGACACACAGTATCAGGAGTAGAACTGAACTTTTAATCCATTCTCCCATGCAAGGGAGGGATTTACAGTAATTACACAATACTCCAATCATACACGAGTTGCCACCCACACATCCCCTCCCCTTAGTGTGACACATAATCCCCTTATGTAAGACACAGTTCCCCTTGTTTTCTGGATGTACCCCTAAACCTAGGAGTACCCCTTTAAATATCACATCCCCTGGTAGCCCTGATCTGGGTGAGACACATATCCAAAAATCACCCAGATCGGACCAGGGGTTCGGGAGTTATGGGGGTTTAAAGTTTTGTGGAGGTCCCTTTAGGCCCACTGAAGCACGGCTTTCCAGCCCAAACCAGTTCCAACTAGTCTGGCAGTGTGCCTGGGACAAGGCCCTGCTGGAGAACAATGGGACAGGAAACGGGGAGGGGTACACCTTCCTATATACAATCTATACATAATCTAATAGAAGTCCATACACTGTGCTTAAAGGGCCAGTAGCCGCATAATAAAAATCCATCATGCCCAAATACTGTCTTTAAAGGGCAATACCCCCAGGGCCATAGTCACATGGCAGGAGGCGGGCAAGCAAGCCCCTCCAAAAGCTCATGGCAAACTCTCTTAAAGGGTTGAGTTTGCTACACCATGTAATAACCAACTTGTCATAAATACTCACCCAACAACAGGGAGGGGGGAAATTAATGATTACTTTTGTTTTTTGACTTTAAAAAAAAAAAATTTTTACAGTAATAAAATCCAGATACATACAATTAAATTATGCTTTTTGACTTGAACTTGGAGCTCTATTTTTAGTTCGCTACAATTCCCTGTTTAATAAATAAACTGCAGGATATTAACACCCATCACTGTGTATCATAGTATTGAGGATAAAATTACACATCATACTTATTCTAGTGGTTATGATAATCATCATAATAATTTCATAAACAAAAATACAATTGATAATACCAGAGCTGAGGGTTTGAAAGATATAAGAAGAACTGGGTATTCCTTCCCCTTTACTTGTCATGCCTGATATTTTGAC